AGTTATCGATTTCAAAGTTCTCCTGAATTAGTACTTTGAGTATTATCATATTGACACTTTTAGTTCTTTCACTATGATTTTCACAATAAGTGGGGGATCAAAATATACTTGAAAGGATCAGAATTAAAATATCACTTCATGAAAGTTGAATGACTACATATGAAATACATATGAAATTTTTCTAAGACGGACACAAAAAATATCTTGCAAGTTGCATACAATAGTCGCATGATTAGATGTGAAAAAACTCAAAGTCAAGCATCAAGGTATTACTCCCACAAACCACAATAGCTAGAATTGAAGACTAAATAAGTGACAAAAAATTTAACTTTGATATATTTTTGGTAAAATCAAAACTAAGAAATTGTTACGGTATTCTATGTATAGAAAAATAATTGCCTCACATGGCGGCACGCTATTGGATGGGTAGAAGGATCACGTTGACCCTCTTTAGATTGGATGAACAAAGTCATTCTCCTATTTATAGATCCTCGATTGTAGATATTTTTGTACATGTGTGTAAGAAATCCATAAAATCCAAATTTCAGAATTCTATAAATCGCATATACGTTCCGTGAATTTTTACTAGGCAGAATGGAAAGTGAATAATTCCATAAAAAACGTAATTGTAAATAATAATCTCACTAATTTCCATTCAATTCTATAAACAAATTCATTCAACGCCAAGTACCTTGTACGTTGTCTGATGACACTTCTAAAGAGGAGATCACATGTTTGAATCTGATCCCAATTCAAGGATGTTAACTTTAAGAAACTATAATAGGTCTGAAAAATTTGCGAAAAGAAAAACAAATTCACTCTAAGATAGCCCGATGTTAGCGTCTGATAGAGAGGGACTTAGTTAACCTGTCGGAAAGCCATTTGTGACTTTTTTCTTTCTTTCCATTTTTTCTTTTTTGGCATTACGTATTTTGTCAAGGTGTGAGGTGTACTTGATAAAAGAATGAACAAACGAAAAATATGAATGGATAATTAGATAAATAAGAGGATAAGCTCATACTATACGCTCCCCCAAGACAGCATGATTGCCGGCCCAAATTGCTGTTCTTTAGTGAATTGAACGTAACGGAAACAAACTGTATTGTGATTGGATTGTCTAGCCATGCATGAATTCAACATAAATTATACGGTTAGATCGTTACACTATTATTACGGTATAATAATAATCACGAAATGGTACAATTTTACATTAAAAACATTGCAAATCTTCTCTTCATCTCTCCTTTTTCTTCACCGGTAGCTCTTTCATCCTCTTCACCAATACATCAGGCGGTGACGTAGCCGGGCGGAATATTGGAGTGAGCCGTTATAAAGAACGATTTTGAAATTTATTATACATTTTTTTTACCATACTAATTATTTGAACAAAGTTGAAATTTGAAGTAGGTCGGGGCCTATGTCAACCCCCTAGTTACGTCCCTGAATGTCTGTCATGTCCTTCAATTCTTCTGATTTTTTTCTTCTTCAATTATCTTCTTCTTTCTATCAAAATAATACTCCGTAAGAATCTAACTATATATTAATCTTGTTTTATCTTCTCTATCAATTAAAAACTGAACTTTTATTAATTTAATATAAAAGTTCATATTTGTGTTAGGTTTGAAGCACCACAACTTTTCTTTAAGCTTAATTTATCTTATTTTAAAAAATCATTGTTCACACATGTTTTGAGTTAAAGAGTGATGCTCGCTGCTCCCACGATATAACAACTCTGAAATGAATATTATTTCTTATTTCTTATTTGCTTGGGTTGTACAAGATTGATACTATTAGAATCCATTTGGTAACATTAGAATTGATTGAAATGACTCTATATTACTAGTATTGTACTTGATTTCTAGACCATTATTAGAATCCATTTGGTAACATTAGAATTGATTGAAACGACTCTATATAATGAATTTATGAAATTCTAGCTGGAGTCGGTGAATTGTTGAATCAAGAAAACTTATATTTAAAATACTTCATATATCTTATTAATAATTTAATATATTTCATACTCCGTAATATAGTGGCGTGTCCAGAAAATTTGGCGAGTGGGGGCAAACATGCACTACAATTCAGTCTCATATGTCACAAATAGCAAATCACATTATTAATGTTGTTTGATTAAATTTAGTTTACGATATACATGTACAAGTATGAATAAAAAGAAGATTAATAATTTATATTATGGAAGTGTAAAGATGCGATTGCGGATAAAATTTGAAAAAATTACCTAAATATAAGTCAAACATAACAAAATTTAGTGAATTCTTTAGCCTTTCATTCTTTTAATATGAAAGAAAACACTCTTAATCATATTTTATATTTTTTCTACATTTAACTCTTTTATGAGCAATTTCTTATAAAAGTTTATTTATATTAGGGTTGAGTTGAGATAGAGGCATAGAGCTGCCCTCATAGTGGATGCGCCACTGCCGTAATATACTGATATTATATTATATATCTTATTACTCCGTAGTATATACTACCTTCGTTCTTAAATAAGCGCAACATTGCAAATTTTACACTATTCACATGTTTTACTTTGACTACATTTTATTTATTGATGTATTAATATATATTTTTGAAAAAAATATTACGGAGTACTAAATTTGTCTCATTGTAAATTTTCAAAATTTGATTTTTTTAAATTTTTTTACTAATAGAGAGTTATATATATTAATGGTCAAAGTTGTGAAATGTTGACTGTTGCACTTATTTAAGAACGGATGTAGTATAAAGTAATGGAAAAGTTAACGTACATAAGCGTTCACAAGTGTACATAATGGTGTAATTATATATGGAAAGAATAATTCTCATTCATGGTAGTATACGTTTACATATTTATATTAATTTTTAGCTATTTCAAGCAAAATAAAATCCGCAATATATGGCGTTGGTTATGCTCAATCATGGAAGAACAAAAGCAGAAAAAGACAATACATAAAACTGGTTGCCCCGCATATATGGACAATGCTTATTTGCAGGAAACGTTTAAAGAACTTGCGTGCATGGCTAAGGATGTTTTCTTTTGGACTGTTTTCAGTCCCAGACCAGACCAGACCAGACTTAAACAGACCAGACCAGACCAGACCAGACTTAAACAGACCAGACCAGACCAGACCAGACTTAAACAGACCAGACCAGACCAGACCAGACTTCCGTAGTTATAAAATACACAGAGACCAGACGTTTACCAGACCAGACCAGACCAGACGAGTTCAGACCAGACCAGACCAGACCAGACTTAAACAGACCAGACCAGACCAGACCAGACTTAAACAGACCAGACCAGACCAGACCAGCAAATTTCAGTCCAAAAGAAAACATCCTAATTAATACGTACTCCCTAGTATATAGTTCCTCCATTCCAAAATATGTTACAAAAAAAATACTTTCTCGATTCTTAAATAAGTATAACTGTCAACATTTCACATTTACCGAGACAAAACTTTGACCATTAGTATATATAACCTTGTATTAGTATAAAAAATAAAAAATCAGATTTTGAAAATTTACAATGAGACAAATTTAGTAATATTTTTTTCAAAATAATATATTAATATCTCAATAAATAAAATGTAGTCAAAGTAGAATATGTGAATAATGTAAAATTTAGAATGTTGCACTTATTTAAGAACAGAGAGGTAGTAGTTACAAGTTAACTCAACATAAATGTAACACAGAAAGCCGGATTATTATATTATTATTATAGTGGTAACCGTTTTTTTTATACAAATGGTAACCGTTTTCTGTTAATAATAACTTGATAAGGAATTCTGTTGGAATCGAAAAAATCAAATTAAAAATAAATAGATACTAAACCATAAGAGAATGAAATGAAATAAGGTGACAACTCCGGTATCCATTTAAAAAGTAGACTATCATACTTATCATTCACTTGATTGGTCTAAATCATTGTATCATTTTTAATTTAGATTTAAATAATTCAACTGCAACATTCTTATTGATTCATGTGGACAAAGGTATGGTACCTTATGAGTATCATAGAAACCATAAAATAATCTTGGCAAAAAATTAATTAAACTGAAAATAATTTTGGACGAACGAAGTATATATCCAAATTAAAATTCAAGAAGAAAATTCATTGTTAGAGAAAAGGCACAGGCATAATTTATTTGCATACAATTTTACAAATTTTACGTATTGATTTAATTTCTTCACATAGACACGATTTGACTGTTTTTGTGCAACTCGACTTAGTGTCCGAGAGTTGTATGTATCATAACGTGTACGGTACATACATATATACTTCGTATGTCATTATTCTATAATATACTCCCTCCTTTTCGTATTACTTATCCAGGTTTACACAGTTTAAGAATGTGTCTAGGAGAAAATAATGTATTTTGAGTTTTTCAATTACTACACCGTCTGCACGTTTTAATTAAGAGCTTATTGGTATAGATTCATTTTCAACAAAAAATAAGATTGAATGATTGAAACTTGAGAAATGAGATGAATGACTAATCAGACAAGTAATATAAAAGCAGAGAGTATTACTACATCCATCTCAAAGAACTTTGTCATTTTCAATAATTTGACCAATTATATATTTTTACTGAAAATTATTTATAATATAAAATTATATGAAGATATTCTTTGTTAAAAGCATTTTCATAAAAGTATAAAATTTTTAACTTCCATAATACCATACGAAGTACTAATCAAAATCACGATTCAAATTTTATGAAATAGCAAAGGTTTTTGGGACGGAGGTAGTAACACAATATTGGTGTCTTACTATATATGTGTGCACTATTAGTAATAATAATAATGATATTAATAATAAAATAATAATAATAATACTAAAATGTGTACTAACGTACCTTCTCTTTGAGATGTGAACACAAAATCTTATCCTTCTCAATTCTCATGCACTAGCTCTTCTATCCAAATGCCCATACATATTTTCCTCCTCTATATATAATCCTCCTCTCCTCTTTCTGGAGGAGCAACCAATTCTCTAATCACACGGCCCCACTACCTTCTAAAAAAGGAAATGGAACTTTTTCAGTTTCTTTCCTGTTTCTGTCTATACGCTTTCTTCGTTCCAGCAATTGGCTCTACTATACTTTTCCAGGTTTGTAATAATCGTAATGCTATAGAATTTACACTTCCACACCTCTTTTTGTTCTTATTTTGGATCATTTGAAGTGATTTGATGGAGGTTTTATTATGTGGTGAAGGGGTTCAACTGGGAATCGAACAAGCAACAAGGGGGCTGGTACAACTCTCTCATCAATAAGGTCCCGGATTTGGCTAAGGCCGGGGTTACTCATGTCTGGCTCCCGCCCCCCTCCCACTCCGTTTCGCCCCAAGGCGCGTCACCTCATTTTTTGTTATTTTCCAAGGATATGGAAGCGTTTTTTGTTTGTTACATTTTGTGACTGCATATCCGCGTGGCAACCAATTATTAGAACGTCTAGTTTAGGCGTGAAAGTTGTTGGTTGCTCACACGCGGAAACGTACACGCAAAATATAATTGACAATATGTTGTTGCCCCAAGTCCATAACTCTATTTTTTGTTCTTGTTTCGGATCGGGATCATCTCTCTTTTGGGTGATTATCATCCTGTTTAAGCCATGGCCCCACCTATCACACAACACACATTACACGTCATAATCATATCATAATAAAGATATAATAAAAACACAATTGGTAATTCATTATATCATTAGTATAGTCATTATTGCACGCAAAAAAGGTCATATTTTCGAACCATTCTTGTAAAAAATGTCATATTCCCACCCACTAGTAAATATATCTATCCTAACAGTGAAAGTCAATGGGCCGATATTTATGATAAAATCGCCTTCTTCTTTTTTGAAAAAAAGGTAGATACCGCAATATCCAGTATCCTATAAGTATAGCTTAAATGCATGTGATTGATTCAAATCACTATTTCATTCTTTTTTATGTTAAACGATTCAATTATAATACTTTAATTATCCACATGAATAAGGTACAATACTTTGAGAATAGCCTAAATTTTTATCCACATGTATATAGTGGTTAATTGTGCAGGGTATATGCCTGGAAGGCTATATGACCTGGACGCATCCAAATATGGAAACAAGCAACAACTTCAGGCTCTTGTAAGGGCACTCCATGACAATAACATCAAGGCTGTGGCAGACATTGTGATCAACCACAGATGTGCTGACTATAAAGACAGCCGGGGTATCTACTGCATCTTCGAAGGTAAAAAAGTTAAAGATGTTAGGATGTGTTCCTATCCTGAGATGAGATAACAATATAAAACTATAAGACTAGGAGCCCATTTGATAATACCGAAATTGATTGAATCAATCGATTCTGCTGAAATTTATGAAAATTTTGGCTAAAATGGCTAAATTGGATGATTTTATTAATTTATGAAAAAATATATATATATAATATATTAATATATTTTATTAAAAAAATAAAATAAAATTATATGAAATAATAGCTAAATAATCTTCTACAATAACTACAACCAATTTAGCCAGAAAATTAACTCCATCATTACTTAACATGATTATTATACAATTAATCACGCGAAATCAAAGCTTGGATAGTAGGCCGATAAGAGCTCTACATTTTGGATAACTCCAATAATCCTTCTACGTAGTATAAATAAAGCAACCCAAATTTTGTAATGATGTGCACCAAAAGTCAGCATGATCTTTCGTTTTACAATTCGTGTGGGCCCCCTATATAAAAATGCATGTAGGGTCCGCACAAAGTGTATGGTATGTGGGTATGTATGTATGAATGAAAAGTGCACACTCAAAGACAATATGTTGGGCGGTGAGGATGCCTATAATAAAATTGCACGATCAAGTCCATTTGACCACTCTCATGAGTCGGAGCTCATGAGATGTCCTTTTTTTTTTTACAAGATAGTATTTTGTTTCATACCATCAAAATATATGAAATAATGGTATCAAAATATAAGTATATAAGATACTTCATTTGTCCAAAAAGGTTCGTCAAATTGACTTTTCTCGGTCAATGAGAATCAACTTTGACCAATGATATTTTTTAAAACGAAATTATTTTGAATAGGAAAATTATATCAATATGTTCCATCCGTATTCAAAATATTTTCATAAAAGTGTAAAAATTTATAAATTATATACAAATATATATATTCAAATCATTGTCCAAAATTTGTCATCATTGACCAAAAAAAGTCAATTTGACAAACCTTTTCGGGACGGAGGTAATATAAGATGTTAGAATCGATCTACCCTTCTATCTATCTTAAAAAAATGGAACCTTGAGTTTCATATACAATTATACTCCCCCGTCCTGAAATGAATTGCAATTTGCGTTTTTTAATATTGATTGATGACAAAGTTAAATCATCCCTGCTGATAATTAAATTAGTTTTAGTAATTAAATGTACATAATCGAAAAATATTTAAATTCGCAAAACCCAAAATTAGAATGTAATACAAAATTGACATGCTAAATATGTAGACATAGTGAAATTGTGTTATTTTGTCGGTGTGTACTTTTGTATACGGATGCTTAACATGAACCAATAATGGTTATTGTGTGTTGCTACAGGCGGCACATCTGATGGTCGTCTTGATTGGGGGCCATCCTACATATGCAAAGATGACACACAATACTCCGATGGCAATGGAAACCCCGACACCGGCATGGACTTTGGTGCGGCCCCAGACATCGACCATCTAAACGAGAATGTGCAAAATGAGTTATCCGATTGGATGAATTGGCTCAAATCTGAAATCGGGTTTGACGGTTGGAGATTCGATTTTGTGAGGGGGTATGCGGGAAGCATCACTAAGATCTACATGGAAAGAACCAAACCGGGTTTCGCGGTGGGCGAGTTTTGGAACTCGTTGGCGTACGAAACAGAAGCAAAACCCAAATATGACCAGAATAATCACAGGAATGAGCTATCCCAATGGGTGCAGAATGGAGGAGGCTTCGTGACTGCCTTTGACTTCACCACCAAAGGGATTCTTCAGACTGCTGTTGAAGGAGAGCTTTGGAGGTTGAAGGATTCCAATGGCAAGCCTCCCGGTCTTATCGGGATTTCGCCAAAAAATGCGGTCACTTTTGTTGATAACCATGACACTGGATCTACACAGAGGCTTTGGCCTTTTCCCAGTGATAAAGTTATGCAAGGATATGCTTACATCCTAACCCATCCCGGAGTTCCATCTGTGGTAATAAACTTTTTCTTTTATGTGACGTTTTTTATATTTATCTGATGTGGAATGACTTGATGGTAAATGTTAAGTCATTTTGCACCAGTCAAATATATAAATACAAAGTCATGAATGATTTTTTGAACTATTTGTTGTATGAGGTTGATCTTTGAAGATAATTTTGAGTTGTGTTGTGTCAATGGAAATGATTGATCGAATTGTGGATGATACTAAGAGATTTTTGTTTCATGTTTGGCATGCAGTTTTATGATCATTTCTTTGATTGGGGATTGAAGGATCAAATTTCAGATTTGAGTTCAGCGAGGAATAGGAATGGGATTAATGAGGCAAGCAATGTTGAAATTTTGGCTGCTGAAGATAATATGTATGTGGCAAAGGTTGATGGCAAAGTATTAGTGAAGATAGGGAGCAAACTAGATATGGGTAACATGATTCCACCGAATTTCAAAGTTGTTGCCTCTGGACAAGACTACGCTGTGTGGGAGAAAAAGGCGTAAATATAATTTGCGGGTTTTAATAGCAAAATAATGTGGGCCACACAAGCAATGTACCTTTGCAATTTCTTTGAGAATAATAATGCATTAATTTGCACGATAGTGTAACCAAAATTTATACGTAGTATATAAATAGTTACTTCGTATTTATTAATATAAATGATAAGCCACACATAGAGATTAGGGTTTTTTTTTACGACAATATTACTAAAATAAAACTTATTTACATAAATATGACTATTCATTACTACAACGTAGTGCTGTGGTAACTAAAGTTCAAAACTTGAATATGAATTACTATGATTTCATTACTACTCTAGTAATGAATCATATTTTTGTAAACCATCTTTATTTTGGCCATATTTATATAATTATTTCGAGATTAGGATCAACTCAAAAGTATCAAAATAGATACAATAATGAATATGTTATATCAAATTGTATATAAAGCGTTTAAAAGAAGGCAAATTTTATGGTACCTCAAAGTATGGTAATTTATCCACATTAATCAATTTGGATATTACAATTGAATAATTTAAATATAAATAAACGATGAAATTATGACTCGGATCAATCAATGCATGATAAGTTTGATACCTTTATCGGGGATAAATCAATGCATGATAAGTATGTAAATTGTGTTTTGATCACATACTTGTGAGTTGAACTCGAGACCTCTCCCTTGTGTTACCATTAGAACAACTCGGAATAAAAGTGCTTCATTTGATGCACTTTATATATGAAGTGCCTCCTGTTAAAAAAATTATTTTTTTCTACGTGTACCCTCTTCCACCAGGTGAGCTATGCCCTTTAGACCTGTACAAAACCGGGCCGGCCCGCCCGGCCCGCCCAACCGGCCCGCACAAATGGGCGGGCTTGGGCATATATATTTACCCACCGGGCCGGCCCGAGCCCGGCCCGCAATAACATATGGGCGGGCTTGGCCGGGTTAGGGTGTAGGCCCGTTCGGGCCGATAAGCCCGGCCCGCTACATTTAGTGTGCATATATATATATATACTAATTTATTTATTTATTTACATGTACACATGTATATTTATATTTACTAATATAATTTACCTTTATACATATTTATAGTTTATTAGATGTAAATTTAAGTTTTTAGTTCTTAACAACTAGCCCAACTAATATAGTATCTATTTTTGTACTTAAAGATAATACTTTTTGCTTGAAATTTAAATTTTAGATATAGTTTCTAATTATTATTTTTATGTAAGTATTATTTTTGTACGTGGTGAAAGGCCTATAAATATTATAAGCGTATTAACAACTTTTTAAATGTTGTCATATTATTTTTACAGTATTTAAAAAATTATACTATCCTCCGTTCTCTTTTAATCGCAACATTGGACTTTTTGCACTATTCATATATTCTACTTTGACTATATTTTATTCATTAATGTATTATAAATTAATTTTTAAAAAAATATTACTAAATTCTTCTTATTCTAAATTTTCAAAATATGAATTTTTTAAATTTTTTAGTAATAAAGAATGAAAGATATTAATGGTCAAACTTGTGCGTAGGCAAACGTGAAATGTTGACTGTTGCAATTAAAAGGGAACGAAGGAAGTATAATTTAGAAAAATTTAAAGTTTTTCCGGGCCGGGAGGCCCGGTGGACTACCCGGCCCGCTCTTACGGGCGGGTATGGATATGGAGTTAGGCCCGTTTTTGCGGGCCGGGCCGGGCCCGCCAACACATGATGGGCAAAAAATTTATAAAAAGCCGGGCCCGAGCCCGGCCCGAACCCATTTTTGTGCAGGTCTAAATTGTCCTTCCACACCTTCTATCCATATACAATAAGTTGTCACATGTTTTTAACCTATTTGGTAATCCAAGCCAAAGAATAACAAATTCAGGAGGAATAGAAATTTTCTATATTTGATTCATCCAAGGCTTGTTGTGGATCTTGATTCTCAATATGTCATACATCACTCCAGATTCGAGCTCCACTTCGTTAGAAAACAAGAGCATTTGATTTATGGCTTCAGCTTTGTTAATTGGGGATCATGTACCAGATGTTTTCCTTCGTCAAGTGTGTGTAGAATAATCTCCAACTAAAGAATGAAACTAACTAATTAAATATGATGAATGGTTTTCTTGCAAGCAACACTAGTTCACCCAAGCAATGTATATAAAGCACAATCAAAATGAAAAGACTTAGAAGGAATAATAAATTGATGGCAGATTTTAATTGACACAGAAAATCAAGAACTTGATAGCTGGATTTTTATTTTTGTTTCTTTAAACAAAGAAATCGAGAGGTAAGAGAGTGGTCAAGGCATTGAGGACCTAGGGGAGGCCTGGGGGAAGTGCTCTCACTTCCGGCCCATAATTTCACTATTAGTACTTATGGTAAAAGCCAGTGTTCACAGACCGCATATAAAATTACTATTATTTTCATTGTAGGTTATTGAATAGATCAGTCTCAAGATGGAGAATCGCTTTCGTGAGTCAAACATAGAATTACTCACTTGTTTAACATGTCTTCATAAAAAAGATAAGTTCTCCCATTTGTGTGAATCAAAGCTATTGCACCTCATAGAGTTATATTCTTGCGATTTTTCATCTGTTGATCGAAGGGAGCTGAAAGAGCGACTCCAAGTGTGGGTATATGAAATGAACAATAAAATATTTTGTGCCACACAAAATATTGGCGAAGTTTGTAAAATATGGTTGAACTTAGAGTTTACAATTCATTTTTTTTTGCCAGGGAACACTTCCCAAATTTATTAAGAACGTTTACAATTCTTTTCACTTGGTATATCGTATGATAGAGTTTGGTTTAGTGTTACCCGTTGCAACAACCACCGTTAAAAAGAGTTTTCTCTGCGATAAATATTATCCAAACATATCTTCGCAATAAGAAGGAATATGACTTTTTTAAGGATATATATTGCTTAGTGTGCTACACAAGAGAGATAATTTTAGAAGCATTGATAATGATACTATTATGTAACTTTTTCAAAATACGAAAACTCATAGACTTGATTTATCACCGTTTTTTATACCACAGATGCAATAATGAACAACTCCGTATTTAATACCGTAGTATGTAATTAACTACTTTGCATAATTGATATTAATTACTTTATTTATACCATTTTAAATATATTTGGAGTTGTTATTATAAAGTAAATTTAGTGTTTAGTGTGCCCCGTTCTCACAAATCTCTGGGTCAGCCACTGGCCAAGTCTCAAATCTTTGAAGACTAGGCCGAAATAGGCGAACCTAGGCGTGGAAAAGCCTTTTAGATCTTTATTATAATCAATGCGTAGTATTTTATAGTGATCTATAAGAAAAAAAAGTCCAAAATATATTATACAAGATTGAACCTAGTTTTTACTTCGCTCAATATATAAAATTTTTGGATGTGTAAAAGTGCAAATACAAAATGATACTCCTCTATCCCAGTGGAGTTTGCCTAGTTTGAGTAGTAGTGTAGTACTATAATTAAGTAGATGAAAATATTAATTTTGACTGGACCCTTATTCCCCTCTTGGAAATATGTGGACAACACAAGTAAAAATAAAAGAAGTTTTAAAATGATTACAAAATACAAGAGCATGTAACTGGCTGACAAAAAGCAAAAAGGTATTCTGCATTGTGTGTACAAGTCTATAGACTTTGCAAGTCCAAAACTAGCAAAATAATTGGAGGGAAACTTTACAAAAGTTGTACAAAGTTCTACCAAAACACCTGAATTTTTTAACTTTTCCCAAAAATACACCGAGCTAAAATAGCATTACAAAAGTTGTACAAAGTTCTACGAAAACACCGAGTAAAAGATTCGTTCCCAAAAGTTAACCAAAGTAAAAGATTCATACCAAAAGTTATGTTCCTAGATGTTGTAGCGAGGCCTATACTAAGGCAAAAAAGAGAGGTGTTGTGGGATGGTAAAGTTGGGGTTTTCCCTTTTACTTATCAAGATATGGCTAAAAGAAACAACAAAAATAGAGAAAAAGCCAATTCTTAGTGTGTGACAAGGGAAGTCATAAAGCAATTCATGATTGAAAAAGTATTGCCGGCAATCAAACTGAAATGGTTAGCAAGAGCATGTAAATGCATCATAATGATATTGCAATCGAGTGTGATTGACATTGCAAAATGATATGGTGGATGTGCTAAAATACAAGGGACATAACAAGTATAAATTGCCTCACATGGAAAGGAAAGGTTAGAGAGACTAGGCTTTCTATCGAATGCTATTTCTGTGGACCTTATGTTGGTTGAGGAAGTTATTGTTATATGGAGTTACCAATGGAAGTAGTACTGACAGAAGCTGAACAAACCAAGTTCATACCTGAATATTCTTGTGATCTTCATTTATGAACTTTTTGGTTCAAGGAAGTGTTATTTTGAAGGGCTTGTAGAGTGTTTCTTTTGCTCACCTAGCCTGTTTAGCTTAGTTTTTTTGCTTAATATGCCGTGTTTATATGTTATTAATAGGCAATGTTTGAAGGGCTTGTAGACTGTCTTTGGCTCACATAGCCCATTCAACTTAGTTTTTTTGCTTAACATGCAGTGTTTACAATCACTGCTTAACAGGAAGTGTTTGTTCAAATGAGTGTTTGTTTGTTTGTTTAATTTTGCTATTTAAGTTACTATTTGTGTAAGTATCTTCTTAAACTTAGTTTGTTTAATTTAATTTATAATGAATGTTAATTACAATAGTTATAAGTTAAATTATACATACATTTATAACTTTAGTTATAGTTTACAGATTATGTTTTTTTGGAAGAAATAGGCTTAAATTGATAACACATCATTCAGATAGTAGGTAAAAAGACATAAAGACCCCCGGCAACAGCCGATTCTCGAACCAAACTCAGAGTTCATCACCTCTAAAGAAACAATATAACTCGTTGATCCATAACTGGGCGCAAATGAGCCAAAGACGGTTAACGCAGATCTTCGCCACCCACATCCAAATCCACATTCTTACAATAAAATAAAACATACAACTGATAGCAAACAGTAAACTTCAAACAATTAAACAAAAGGAAAACAAGAAAATAAAACCCATGCCCCATCACCCAAACCACCACCATCTTCCATACACCTGGAACCTCATCCTGGCTGAGCAACTTCGACGGGCTTGCCCTATCCAGAACCATGTTGTCCCCAAATTGGTTCTCTGTTTCTTGAGCCTCCCAGATACGCCTTCCCTTTTGCTCCCCTGAAACTTCCTCTGTGCTTGCAATCTCCAC